GGCGGCGAGCGGGTGGGAGACATCGGGGGAGGTGCTCGGAGGGGCGGCAGCTTCGACCTCTGCGAGGTTTCGGCCCGCAGCCCTTCCGCCCGCGCTCGTCCGCGTCGCATGCCGCTGCAACTGACGCCGCGTGGCCAAGGCGGCCAGCTCGCGCGGAAGCAATGTTTCCCGTGGCCGATAGCGACGCCGAGGCCCTCCGCGCGGGCGCTGTGGAAGCAGGCGCGGGCCCCTGACCCGAGCCCCTGGGCTTGCACCAGCCTCTGCGCGCAGCGCGAACGCCGCGCTCGCGCCGGCTGTCCTGCGCGGCGTGGTTGGCGTCGATCGCTGCCGCGGCGGCGGGGCCCACGGGCCCGTCAAGCCTCTGCTCCTGCGCGGACGGCCGCGGCCGCCAAGGCCCTGCAGGCGGCCCCCCGACAGTTGCGCCCAGCGGTCGCCGCGGCCGCCCTTGGCAAGTGAGACCCGCTCGGCTGGGCTGCGACCGCGCGCCGGGAGCAGCGGCAGCAGGCCCGGCGCCACCCGCTTGCCCATCCCGCGTCGCGGGCGGGGCCGTGCCAGGCTCGTCGGCGAGCACTGGCTGGGCCGCTGCGCCCCCCGACGGCTCGCCAACGACAGGTGCTCCTTCCCCACTCTCGCGCTGCTGGCGACTGGCGCCTGCGCTCAGTGGCGAGGCCGTCGCGCATGGCCTAGGCCCCCCTGCCCCTTGCGCTCGAGCTCCTGCGACCCAAGCCCGAAAGCCCGAGCGGCGTCTGGACGGCCGAGCGCAGCTGCTCCCGGGGCCGCACCTTGAGCCGCTCGCATGACTCCCTCTCGCTGGGCTCGATGTCGAGGTCCTGCATGCCGAAGGCGTCGTCATCGTAGAGCTCAAGCATTTCACCCTTGCACGAGGCCGAGAGGTCGAGGCCTGCTTTGGGTGAGGCTGGCTGGGCTTGTGCACCCGATGGGGTGAGGCCCGCCTTCGCCCTCGTGGCCTCGGGAGTCTGGTCCAGGATTGCCTTGGCGTGCTGCACCTCCACGGTCGCGTCGTTGCACTCCGTCTTTGCATCCTCCAGCCACTCGTCGGCCTCGACCACCGTCTGCACCGCAGCAGCGAAAGCCGACTCCGCACGGCGCAAGCGGATGTCGGCTGCTGGGGCCTCCTCCTCGAGCAGCTTGACCCTCGGCACTGGTGGCGGGGCCGCTGGCACGAGCGCCACCTCGACCTGCTCGATCGACGCCCGCTCCTCGGGGTCCACGGAGTCGGCCAGCTGCGCCAGCAGCTCCTGGACACCAGGCTGCCCTAGCCGCGCCACGGTACCGTCCGAGAGGGCCAGGCTGACACTGCGGGTGCGGGCTCCTTGGGGTTTGCGGGCGTCGGCCGATTGGGCACGCTACAAGGCCCCTGCCTGGCCGCCTCCGTCGCGCCAGTGGCCCGTGATCCTCAGGCCCAGCACGTGCCCACACTTGTAGCACTCTTCCTTCGTGGCGCAGGTTCAGCCATAGCCACACGCCGTGCACTTGCGGTAGTCGGTCCGCCTGCTCGGGCCTTGGGCCCTAGGCCTGCTGCCCCCCTCTCGTCTTGCCAGCGCAGCCTTTGTCACCCAGCGACAATTGGAGCAAAGGAAAGGGGCTGGCAGGCGTGCGGAGTCTGGTCGCCTGTCGACCGCGGAGCTCGCCCTCGAGCCTCGCCTTGAGCCACAATTTCTACGGACGTAAACCTCTCGGATCAACCAATGACCCATGGGGCCCTCTGGGCCTCGTGCATAAGGGGTGCTCAAGAGGCCAAGTGGGCCTCCCTGGGGATCCCTGGGACACCGTGGGCTAAGGACACGTCTGGCAACACCCGAGGCTGGGGCTCGGTCGATGCCGCCGCCGCCGCCGCCGGGAGCTGGGGCGCACAAGCGGCGGGCGCGTGGCCAAGCAGCCGCCGCACGCGGCCCACGAACTGGTGGAAGTCGCCGCCGCCACTAGGGTCCTCGGGGGAGTCTCCGCCTCGTTTCGCCCAGCCTGGCCCGCCCCCCTCGCCCGCAAGTGATTCGCAACGTGGGATCTCGGGGCCCACACCCCCGCCCACTCGAGGGCGAGCAACGAAGATTGCACTGCAAAGCGCGATGGCGGGCGTACGCTGTCCTCGATGGCAGCCGCTGCGCTGGCGCTGCGAGCTACGGCCGCCAGCGCCAGCTTGGCGGCGCGCCCCCGCGTCTTGGCGTTCTGTCCGAAGCCGGCGGCCCGCAGACCAGCGTGGGGGCCCCGGCGGACGGTGATCGTCGTGTACAGCTCACAGTCCCACCTGGCTCGCGCCGCGCCTGCCCCGACACGGGGCCCTGTGGGGGCCCCAAACGGATACAGTGTGTCAGGAAGCAACTACCGGGAGGTCTTCGTCGCAAGGACCAGGGAAGATTCAGACCCATTGGGGGGCTGCTACTCCAGAGTAGGCCGCAGATAAATTCAGCGGGATCAGGCCAGATTAAGCGGGATTGGACCGGATTAAGCCGGATTTCGGACCAGGGCAAAATCAGAATTTGACCTCGAAGGAATTGCATCCGCAAATGTGGTCCCACACGGAAATGACTTCTTTTCTCGTCCGTGGTTTCCCCTCCAGGGCGGGTTTTCTAAGTTTCTAACCCCCCTTTACCACTCCCTACCCTGGGTCTGGACCCTCGAGCATCTAAGATGGCCCAAGATGAACGCTGATAGCTCAAGATAGCCTTAAGTATAAAACAAAAATAACCCAACACGGCTTGAGACATTCTCCAACACGTCTCCAAGAGGCCCAAAGACCGCCAGAACACGCATCGAGGTGACCACGTAGCCTCCGCAGGATGCCCCGAGAGACCCAAACCCCTCCAAACCTGTAGTGCTTCAGTGGTTACTTCTCCATCGCCCTTTCACTTGCGATAGGCTCCTGAGACCTCCAAATGTCGCTGAGACTGGCCACGGGGGCTCCAAGGCAGGCTCCCAGATAGCCCCCCAAAGATCCTCCCCGAAACGCCCCCGACCCGCCCCAGGCGCGCTCCGAGAGAAGAAAGATTCTGGAGACTCCGACAGGGGCGAGGCGAGCCAACACTGTCCCCCTTCTGCCGTTGATGAGGCCCTCGAAAGACCACCTGCTTTTGAGAGAATATGGCCTCTCGGGCTGGCGGCAAGCGAGGGGGGTACGCGAGGAGGAGGAGGCCTTCCCAGAAGGCGGCGTGACTTCTCAGAAGCCCTCGCGCCTTCTGAAAATGTTATGTCTGTCTTCGGAAATGGCTTGGAACAACTTCTCAGAAGGCGCGGGGACTTCCGAGCCCTCTGAGAAGGCCCGCCCCTGCTCACTTCCTCCCATCGCTCGCCACTGATCGGGGGCCATCCTGCGGACGTCCATTCCCCATGCTTTTTTGCTTTCGTGCGTGTTTTTTTTTCCGCAGGATGATCCAGGATGCTCCTGAATAATCCCCGCCGAGAAAAAGTGCACACGTCCGAGCGATACCAAGTCAAATGGCCCTAGGTGCTCTAAAACTGCCCCCAAGATGGTCCAACTTGGCTCAAGGTGGCCTGTGACAGACCTCCAAGAGGAACCGAAGACGGCTCGACGTGGCCTTCAGAACTCCCTGAGAGACAGAAACCCTTCAAACACCGAGTGCATGGCTTTTGAAATTGTCAGTTGTCTTCTCGTGTTTTCACTTCTAGTGGGCATCCGAGGCCTCAAGATGGCTCCAGATCGCCCAGGATCGCCCCAATAAGGGCCCAGAAGGGCTCCACGACGGCACCAAAGGCACCCAAAACGGCCACAAGAGACTACTAGTCGATCCCCAGAGGGGCAACGCGAAGTGCACTCTCCCCCTTCTCTAGTCGATGTCCTCCAAGAGGGCCCATAAGGCCCCAAAGAAGGACCTAAGAAACTCCAAATGACCTCCCAAATGGTCCCTAAGAGCGGCCGAAAAGTGGCCCTAAGAAGCCTCCCACAGGCTCCCAGATCGAAGGATATGCAGTGGCCTTCATGGGTGACTCCTGGCTCTGCGTTGGCTGATCCCGAGCTTCGGTCTGATGGCCGCACCCGCCCCTTATATATGCTCCTGCACTGGACTGATCAAGGCAACTCGCCTGAGGACCGCTCCTAGATGGGCTGGCGGGGATACTGGAGTACACAGAAACTAAGAAGAAACTGCGTAGACGACAAACTTTCGGAGGTCCGCGCGGATTGCTTGGATCGGCGCTAAGCCCCACTTCCCCCGCGCCCAGAGCGCGCCAGGGGCGGCGCTGGAGCCGCCGCCAGGGGGGCCTAGCGCAGATCCAAGCGTGATTTCGACCCAGAGTGATCCCAGGCAGAGTGCATGCTCATGCAGAGTTCCCCCCCTCGAAACGCAGGAGAAGCCAACAAATGCATAGACCACAAACTTTCGGAGGTCCGCGCGGATTCCCCAAGGGCTCCCAACTTCGCGCTTCGCGCTGCGCGAAGCGCGAAGAACTTCGCGCTCTCGCGCCGCCCCCCAAAAGGGAGAAAAGGAGGACGAGGAGGAGGGGGAGAAGGAACACGACCCAACGATGTTGAAAGTTTAGGCTCTTGTCCCGTGCAGCCTCGGCGTGTTGTCACGGCGACAGAGACATCTCCCAAACGAGTGCGCGGCAACGACACAATTTTGATCGCTCGGCCCTCGACTGGCCTGGCCCTGAAGAATGCTTCACGCCCTCTCGGCCAGGGCAGGGGCGGCACAACACCTGGCCAGCTCAGGGAGGCTCATGGCGGCCTGCAGGGTATCGTCGGCCTCCGAGTCCTCGAAGTAGCTGTGGGTGTTGTTGCTCCCGGGAAACACGTGGCCCAGCAGCTCGGCAGCGTACGGGACAGAACGAGAAAAAGCTGCATAAGCACATACCTGCAATTGCCTCGCGGATTTCTTGGACCGGCGCTGGGCTCCCCTGGCGGCGCCTCTGGCGCCGCCCCTGGAGCGTTCCGCGCGCCAGCATGGGGGGGGGCCAGCGCGCCGCTCCAAGAAATCCGCGCGGACCTCCGAAGGTCGATGCTCATGCCGCCTCTTCCCTTCCGATCATGGGAACAGGCCCGACGACTTCTGAGTGCAGAACAGGCACAGCACCCTTGCCCCGCACTCCGACGCCAGCAGCGCCATCGGCGGCACGTCGTCGTCCGTGCCCGAGCACGTCCACGGCTGCTGGGCGGGCCACGGCGGCGCAGCGGGCTCCGCCTGCGCCTCCGGCCCGCCGAGCCACGCCGCTGCCGCGCACAGGGCGCCCGCATCTGGCGCAGCGCCCGCGCCGTGTGCCCGGGCGGCCGCCCCCACGCGCTTCCGCACAGCGGGGGGGAAGCAGGCGCCGAAGTCCCCCGCCTCTGGAGGGAAAGAATGCGCTGGCCATGACCAAGGCTGACCGCCGAAGCGTCGGTGTCGATGTCGGGCATCGTCCATCTTGGTCAGCGTCACTTCGTGGATCATCCTCGCGAATCGGCGATGGCTGGCATGGACCGTGACCAAGCTCGGCGCCATCACGACCCCGCGATACCTTGAACATGGTCAGCGTGCTTCTTCCCTCGAGCCTCGGTAACCCGCCAGCCGATGTGCAAGTTCGGCAGCTCGCGCCGCAGCCATAGCTGGGCCCGCGGCGGCAGGCGCCAGTCGCAGACGAGCGCGTTCACGTCCCGGTTCGTGACGAAGGGGCAGCGGTACCTGTCCGAACACAGCAGCACCTCGACGGCAGCGTCGCTGAGCGCCTGCACGTGAAGCAGGCGGCCCCTGTCCACCGACGCCGCGGCGTGCTGGAGATCCTACGTCGCGACAAAAGCCACGTCATCATGGAACAAATCACGGCTTGAGCTCTCCGCCCCATGTTGATAACACCAACTTTTCGGGCATGCGAAAAGAGGGCCCTCAGGGAAATGGAACCTAGACCCCGAAAGCTTTCCTCCAGACCACCATCCCATCCTGACTTGTTCCTTGGCCACCGTGGGGCTGAAAGCGGCGAAACAACTCAGTACCCGTTCCTCTCAGGACCCCCCTTATCCTCGTCCTGAATCCTTCGGACGGGATCGACCAGCAAGGATCCCCTGGCCCAAAACGAGGCGACGACGCCCGTCGTCGTCTGGACTTCGTCTGGCGACGACGACGACGACAACGACGACCGCGCCAGACTTCGTCCGACGACGACGACGACGTTCGCGGCGCCGGACTTCGTCCGACGACAACGGCGGCGGCGGCAACCGCTTGGCGGTCGGCATCGCCGGCCGCCACCGCAGGCACGGCCGCGACCTGGACGGCGGCGGCGGCAAAGGGAGAGACGGGACAACGGCAGGCGCCGCGGGCGGAGACGGCGCGGCGGCGGTCTGAGGAGTCCAGCGCGGGCTCTGCGCGGGAGGACACCACGATCACCTTCAGTCCGCAGGCTTGCAGCCCCTCCACCGCGGTGGACATGGCGCACGCCTCGCCGACCTCGTGGTCAGACCACTCCGTCGGATGTTTCTGTTGGCCGCCGGCGGCCGCCCGTCATACCCAACGAAAACTCACGAGAACTCGCGGGCCTCGTCGCCGTCCACCCCCCGTCTGGAGGAATAGGACGAGGAGGGGGGAGGGAGGAGAGGGAGAGGGAGAGGGAGAGGGAGGAGGAGGAGGAGGAGGACCAGTGTAAACCCAAGACTCGTCAACGATTTAAAAAGCAACCTCCCTACAAACTCTCTCTTCATAAGCGCCTGCAAGGAGTCATTTCCACCGAGGGAAATGCCCCGTTGGGAGACAACCGTTTGAAGATCCTGAAGGTCGCCAGCGCACCAATCCCGGGACTCTGACGCCACGAGTCAACCTGACTGCTGCGTCGTGTCGATCCTGAATCGTGCCAGAACACCGTTCCTGGGAATTCAACATCGCGAATCAACGTAACTGTTGCGCCCTGACAATCCTGACGCGCTCACAAATACAATGTCTGGTACATTCGTTGACCATAGGAACCCGTTGAACTCTTGCATATGTTGAAGACGAAGTGCGCGGCCCTAGTGCGAGTGCCACATGTTGAAAAAAACGCCCTCAATCCGTGAAACTCTTGCACCTGTTAAAAATGAACGTGCGCTGCGGTGACGCGAGAGACACATTGAAAACACGATCCGCCCTCAGTCCGTGAAACTCTTGCAACTGTTTGAAACGATTGTGCGCGGCGCTAAAGCGTGAATCATATTTTGACAACCGCCCGCCCTCAACCCGTGAAACTCATGCAACTGCTTGAGACGAGCGCGGGCGGCGTCAAGGCGAGAACCACATGTTGAAAACCGCGCGCCCTCCATTTGCGAATATGTTGCCAGCTTCTACTCTTGGTTTCTTGATAAGCGTAGGGGGGTACCCCCCCGACGGGGGTCAACCTCGCCTCGTCGTCGCGCCACGACAGGAGTCGGAGCGCGTTCGGCGCGCGGTGGCTGCCCGCGACGGCGGTCGATGTGCGGCTGTCGGTGACGCCCCCCGACGCTTATCAAGAAACTCGGGCTCATCTGCAGGATCATAAGCGTTAAGAATATCACGCGAAACGCCTGGCCCGCCGCTCCGACTGGCCTCTAGGTGAAACGACGGGGTGGAATTAATCATAAAAAGAGGGGAGGAAACGGAAAGGCGATGTAGCAGGAACGAGCGAGCGATGGAGGATGAGCGCCAGATGAGGGAGGAATGAAGGAGGAAGCATGAGGCAGAGCGAGCGAGCGAGCGAAGGACGAGGAGGACGAGGAGGAGGAGGAGGAGGAGCAAGGGACCTCGTCGCCGTCCACCACGCACACGCCGAAGTCGGCCATCTCGTCGTCGCGCCCATCCAGGCCCGCGGGCGGGGGAGCGCCCGCGCAACCCCGCGCCGCAAGCATCGGGTCGAAGCAAGATATCCTGCTCCCTCCTCCTTCCCCTCCATCCTCCTCCGTCCTCCTCCTCTCTTTCCCCTCTCTTGCCCCTCCGTCCTCCTCCGTCCTCCGTCCTCCGCCTCCTCCTCCTGCTCCGCCTCCTCCTCCTCCTCTTCCTCCTCCTCCCCCCCCCCCCCCCACCCCCTCCTCCTCCTCCTCCTCCTGCTCCTCCTCCTCCTCCTGCTCCGCTCCTGCTCCTGCTCCTGCCCTGCTCCTGCTCCTACCTCCTCCTCCTCCTCCTCCTCCTCCTCCTCTTCCTCCTCATCCCTCTCCTCATCCTCCCCCCCCCGTCCTCCTCCTCCTCCTCCTCCTCTCCTCCTCCTCCTCCGTCTTCCACCTGATCCGCCCTCCTTCACCTCGTCCTCTTCCTTCCCCTCACCCTCCTCCTTCTCCTCAACATCCTCCTGTCGCTCCTCCGTTTCCTCTCGTCCTCCCCCTCCTCCTCCTCCTCCGCCTCCTTCTCCTCCTATGCCTGATCATCCTCCTCTTCCTCTTTCTCTTCCTCCTGATCCCCCCTCGTCCTCTCATTATTGTTAGTATGGTTCTCAATAGTAGTCTCCGCATTCGTATTATTATTAGTATTCTTGATATCATTGATCGTATGCGTTTGTATTGAGTTAGCCGTGTTCTAATTTACTTTACTATTACCAGTAATACGAATAGTATTGTTACAAGTAGTACAGTTATTCGCATAACTAGTGGAATCAACATTTGTAGTATCATTGCAATAAGTAGCATCAGCCGTCGTATTATTCGTATTATATTTAGTAGTATGTGTGTTAGTCTTAATCGTAGTGGTGCTAATATGTTTGTCCGTCCCCTCAATAGTAATAAGCAAGCATGTTGCTAGTATTAGTTATGGTTACGATTATGATTCCTATTCCCAATCGTACTATTCGTATTGGTGGTCTGGGTATTAATAGTAATGTGTGTAGTCTTAGTTGCTATTATTACTATGAGTATCATCTTCCTCCTCCACCTCATTATCCTCCTTCTCCCCCTCCTCCTCCTCCTCCTCCTCCTCCTCTTCCTCCACCTCCTCCTCCGCCGCTTCCTCATCCTCCTTGTCCTCCTCCTCCTCCTCCTCCTCCTCGTCTTCGTCCTCGTCCTTGTCCTCGTCCTCCTCCTCCTCCTCCTCCTCCGCCTCTGCATCCTCCTCCCCCCATCTTGTTCCCTCTCCCCTCCTTCCCTCGCCCCCATCCCCATCCTCTTCTTCATCCTGGTGTTCCTCTTCCTCCTCCTCCTCCTCCTCCTCCTCATCCTCCTCTTATTCCTCCTCCTCCTCCTCCTGCTCCTGCTCCTCCTCCTCCTCCTCCTCCTCCTCCTCCTGCTCATGTACCTGCTGGTGATGCTCCTCCTCCTCCTCCTCCTCCTCCTCCTCATCCTCCTCGTCCTCCTCCTTGTCCCTCCTCCTCATCCTCCTCCTCCTCCGCCTCCTCCGTCTCCTCCGTCCCCTCCGTCATCCTCCATCCTCCTCCTCTGTTTCCCCTCTCTTCCCCCTCCGTCCTCCTCCGTCCTCCGTCCTCCGTCCACCTCCTCCTCGTCCTCCTGGTCCTCTTCTCCTCCTCTTCCTCCTCCTCCTTTTCCTCCGCCTCCTCCTCCTCCTCCTCCTCCTCCTCCTCCTCCTCCTCATCATCATCATCATCATCATCATCATCATCATCATCATCATCATCATCATCATCATCATCATCATCATCATCATCATCATCATCATCATCATCATCATCATCATCATCATCATCATCATCATCATCATCATCATCATCATCATCATCATCATCATCATCATCATCATCCTCTTCCTCCTCCTCCTCCTCCTCCTCCTCCCGATCTCGGGCACCTGGTGGTCCACGGGCAGGTTCCTCGGACACGGCGGCGGCGGCGGACAGCGCGGAGTGGCGCCGTTGCCCAAGAGTTCGGACTCCAATACCATTCAGCAAGCCATCACGATTGCTCTTCGCCGTGGTGATATCGGTCCGCAAGATCAGAAGGCAGCGCCCCTTGTGCAGCAGGCCTCCCTTCTGGTGGAAGAGAAGAAGCTCAAGCCTGCGCCCAAGTCTGCCTACCAGAAGCTCCAAGAAGCTACTGCTCTGTGCAAGGCGCCAGAAGGAGCTGTCCAAAGCTACCAAGGCCCTGGTCTAGGCGGAGAAGTGGCTCGATGAGACCAAGCAGAAGCAGCAGGAGGCGGCCTTGGCCATGTACGGCGCGGACTTGCACCGCCAGCAGGCCCAGGCTGCCATGCACGACCACGGGCCCGACAAGGAGAAGGAGAAGGCTGAGAAAGGCCAGGACATCTTCCAGCTGGACACTTCGCTCTTCGACTCCCTGGATACTTCGAGGAGGAGGATCGCGGCAATCTCCAGACGTTCCGCGCGCAGCTGGAGGAGGTCTCGAAGCAGGCGCAGGAGAAGCAGCGGGCGCTCCAGCAGCTACTCTCAGACGCCGAGAACATCCTCGACATGCCAGGGAAGATACAGTCAAAAACCCTAGTAAGGACGCGCGGTAAGGACGCAAAACCCTTGGAAGCCGAAGCTGGGCTTTTTGGGGCGGCGGACGACGAAAACCCCAAGGACGCAAGAGCAAGGAAGAGCAATGACGCAAGGATACCCTGAGCAAAGTCGCGCGTCCTTATTAGGGTTCTTGACAGTACGTCGCGCTGATGGCGGCGAGGCCAAGTCGGACGAGGCGGCGCACGAGCCAGATGAGGAGGAGGATGCATCGGAGCAGGGACCGACCGTCCTGGCATTCCTATAGTCCTACCACGACATGTTCTTAGAACCCAAAAATGTTCTAAAAAACAATGTTCTTAGAACATTAACCCGATGTGTTAAACCAAGACAGTCCCAACCAGAAATGGTCTAAGAACATTTCGTGGAAACCGCAAAAGGTTCTTAAAACATTGTTTGGTAGGGCTATGGGCGAACCAAGACGCTTCGCCACTGCTTGAGCATCGGAGCCTGCTCCCAGCTCTCAGGCCGTTTCGCACGCCGGCCAGGGTGCTGGGCCTCTGCCCAGGGAGGAGGAGGAGGAGGAGGAGGAGGAGGAGGAGGAGGAGGAGGAGGAGGAGGAGGAGGAGGAGGAGGAGGGGGAGGAGGAGGAGCAAGGGAGGAGGAGGAGGAGGAGGAGGAGGAGGAGGAGGAGGAGGAGGAGGAGGAGGAGGAGGAGGAGGAGGAGGAGGAGGGAGGAGGAGGAGGAGGAGGAGGAGGAGGGAGGAGGAGGAGGAGGAGGAGGAGGAGGAGGAGGAGGAGGGGGAGGAGGAGGAGGAGGAGGAGGAGGAGGAAAAGGAGGAGGAGGAGGAGGAAAAGGAGGAAAAGGAGGAGGAGGAGGAGGAGGAGGAGGAGGAGGAGGCTGCTGCGCCTGCTCCGGCCACTCCTCCCGGCGCGGCCGCGGCCAGCACCGACGCCTCTCGCGCGGGAAGACAGCGTGTGTGAAGGGGCCCAAGGACACACAAACAAACACACATACACAAATAACAGGATTCCCCATATTTACTCATATTTTCCTGGGTTTTTTGTCTTCCCCCCAACTTCCCATATTTTTCTA